TACATTAGGTTGTATTTTTAATTTCAATTATTAAATTCGTTGAATTATATTTATTGAATTTAATATAAATATTTATAATATTTTATATTTTTTTGTTAATTTATTAAATATTAAATATAATATATGATACATAAACGAAAAATAAATTTAATATATTTTAAAATTAACATTTCAAAATATCTTACCGTGTCCGGATGTTGGTGTTGCACTGTTGCTCATCTTGAGTACCGGTCACTCATCAACACTCCAAAATTATGGAGTAGCTATACAAGGTGGAATGACTTTGCTGTCAAATTAGAGTAGTTAGAATCTCACAGAGACGACAAAATTGTCTAAAACTTGCACAACAAACATATAGTCAAAGACAAAATTCGACCCAAATTGTCTATACGAAGTTTTGTCCGCATCTCTCTTTTTGGATGCGATGAATAAGAAAACCAATTGGGGTGGACGTTCTTTTTAGTTTATCTTTCTGAACCGCCCCGGTAAACCTTCTTAGGCTTATAAAGATGTTTTCTCTTTTATAGCCACACTCGTCTTCATTGAATTTTATTCTTGTAAGCTATGAATCACCCACACTTCAAAAATTCTGACGTATCGTGTTCGACACTTTTTGACACTTCGACACTCTTCGACACGCGTTGCAGAAACTCAAAAAATAGTTTAAAGGTTGTGTTGCGTTGCTTTTTTAGTTTCAACTATTAAATTCGTAGGATTATGATTACTATTTTATTGAGTTTAATATAAATATTTGAGATATCTTGTGTTTCTTTGCAAAATTGATAGGTATTACAAGTTTAACTTTATTTTTTTATTAAATTAATAAATATTAAATATAATATACACTACAAAAATTAAAAATATTATTTAATATCAAAATGTGTCCTAATGTGTCGAAATCTAACATTTTTTAGAATTACGTGTCGAAATATCGTGTCGTGTCGTGTTACGTGTCCCGTGTCAGTATCGGTGCTCCATAGCTTGTAAGTCTATCACAAAGAGGTGGGCTTCACACCTTTATTTTTTTTATCAATTCTCTCTCCTCTTTTATATATATCTCTATCTTAAAATGACACAACTTTACATCCTTTAAAATAACACACACTTTTTCCTTTATCTTTTTGAAAAAAATATTTATTCTTTTAAAAGACATCACTTTATATCATTTTAGATTCTAATTGTTAATTTACATCAATCAATGGTTAAGATTTATTGGATTTTATTACGAAGTACTAATTAATTAATAAGTTTGTCCCAATAAATTTTGACCGTTGATTGATAAAAATCTAAAGAAACACAAAGTTATATCCTTTAAGGGGACGTTTGGTATGGGAGATACTTTTTTAATGGAAAAAAAGATTTTTGGGGATTTTGTAGGAATTTTTTTATCTCGAGTAAGTGACGAAAAAGTATTTGATTGGCCAAAATTTTACAGAAAAAGTTGAATTAATTTTACTAATACTGTGTTTAGTTGATGTTAAATATTGATGGAAATTTGAAACAAAATTATCAAAATACCCATCTTTTAACACATTTTGTCACATAGTTCAACAGGGTATTTTTGCCTCAAAAAAATATATTCAGAATTCAAGAGAATGGGGGAAAAAATACCATGGCTTGGGTGAGATAATTTTTTAGCTTTGTGTAATTCAAAAGGAAAATGTCAGAAAAAAAGAATTGCTGACATTTTTTTTTATAACTAAAAGTTTAAGTGGAGTTAGACACCGGTATTCCACTAGGGTCAGGGAAGACCCCCAACCTGTTTGAGGATTTTTGAGAGGGATTACATATCACCCACCAACAAAGTCCTCACATCGGACAGCCGGGTTTGAACCCACGCCCTTGAGAGGTATGTACCAAACCCTTAGCCAACTGTGTCTACCTTTGTTGGCAAATTACTGACATTTTATTCACATTCCTCGTGTCAAACATGATAAATAAATATTTCTCACCCTACTATCTCATCATTCTAACTAAAATACTCGTACCAACCCTTAAAAAGACAAACATTTTTCCTTAACTTTTTATATTGGTTAAAATCCTATAGGCATTCCGCAGCATCCCTGAAGGCTTTGTTTGGGAGTTTGGAAGGGAATGAAAGGAAGGAGATCCAAGGGGGAGGGATTGAAGGGTATTCCCTTCCCTTGTTTGAGAGTTAAAAAAATAGTAAAGAAGAAAAATTGAGGATTAATGAGATAATTTTATCATTTTAACCTTTTTCTTAAATTAATTTAATTATGATATTTTATAAATTACATTAAATTTAAAATTTCTAACAAAATTATTAATGTACTTTTCACAACACCAAAAAAGATCATATTTTCGATGAAATTTCTATTGTTGCAGACGATGAAAATTTTGTCACAAAATTATTTTTTTCGTCGGAATACTTTTCGTCGAAAAGCGACGGAATTTTTCAACCGATGAAAATTTTTACAAAATCAATTTTCTATAGAAATTTTTGACGAAATTTAGTTTCCATCAAAAGTTTTGACGAAAACAATTTCCTCCATCAAATGTTTTAAACGAAAAAAGAATTTCGTCAAAAATTTTTATGAAACATTTTTCGTTCAAAATTTCGATGGAAATGTGTTCTCACGAAAATTTCGCCAGAAATTATTTTGTCAAAATTTTTGAGGGAAATGTTTCATTCGAAACTTTCGACGAAACTTAGACTATGTAAAGAATTTTGACAGAATACTTTTTCTGTCAAAATTTTTTGTCGAAATATTTTTAGTCAAAAAATTTTACGGAAATATTTTCTGTCGAAATTTTTGGACAGAAATGCGTTTCGTTGAAAAATTTGATGGAAATATTTTTTATCATAAAATTTGACGAAAATATTTTCTGTCAAATTTTTTTGATGAAAATGTGTTTCGTTAAAAATTTTGACAGAGATTTTTTTTTCCAAAAAGTTTAACGAAAATGTTTTCGTCGAAAACATTTGGCGGAATTTAAGTTCTGTTAAGAATTTTGATGAATTTTTTTTTGTCAACAATTTTTGATAGAAATGCGTTTCGTTGAAAATTTCGATGAATATATTTTTTTGTAAAATATTTTGGCAAAATTTAGATTCCATAAAGATTTTGACAAAAAAAAATTTCCGTCAAATTTTTTTACAAAAATGTTTTTAGGCACAAATGTTGATGGAAATATTTTTCATCAAATTTTTTTGATGGAATTTTTTTTATTAAAAAAATTTGACGTAATTATTTTACGTCGAAACTTTTCGATGAAAATGTGTTTCGTCAAAATTTTGAACGAAAATATTTTCGTTAAAAGTTTCGACGGAATTTAGATTCTATCAATAATTTTTGACTGAATTTTTTTTCGTACAAAATTTATGTTAGTGATTATGGCAAAATCTGGTTCCGTCTCTAATTTCGCCTTTAGTTTTAACGAAAAATTTTTTACGTATATGATTTTTATCAAAAATTTCATCACTATTTTTGACGAAATATTTTCCGTCATTAAATTTTGTCGGTATTTGAGACTTTTCTAATAATATCACATTTAAAAATGATTCACAATTATGTAGTTTTAACATTTTAATGCTAAGGGTAGATAAGTAATTTTTAATATTTTCCCCTTCAAACCTTTCAAATTGGGAGAACTTTAATTTTAAGAAGAAGAAGGATTTTAGAGGATTTAGTAAAAATCTCCAATTTCTTACCCTCATTTATTTTAACTCACAAATAAGAGAATAACTTTTTAAAACTCTCACTTTCTTTTTCTTCCCCCTCTAAAATCAACTTGCAAACAAAGCCGAAAGAGGAACCTCAATTTCCCCACGAAACAAGGACAAACCAAAACCCACTTCACCCGTTCACCGAATTACCCAAAACCTCTGCTCCCTCCTCGCCACTGTCGTCACAACCAACTTCGTACCACCGAGACCTCGCCATTAAGCACGCATCACCTAGGTATGTTGAGCTAAACAATTTTTTTGGATCTTAAGGAAGTAGGCACATAATAAAATTATTATTAAAAAAAGATAGAAATGCAAAAAAAAGAAAAAATTAAAAAAATTAAAAAAATTAAAAACAGAAATGAAAAACAATTTAAAATTAGGATAGGATTAAGTAAGTAGGCCAAAAAAAAAAAAGAGAGAGAAAAATATATATATACCTGAAAAAAAGCGGGAAAGGAGTATGCAAAGTACAAAAAGAGTAATTGAAAAAAAAAATTGTAAAATTGCTGTGCGTGATTATAGTTTGTTACTCCATTAGTTAATCTAGTTTTTTCTGCAGATTATGGCATGTTATTTGATTTAATTAACTTTTTGTTAATAAATTTGTTTTGAATATTTAATTAATATTTTATTAATTAAAATTAATCAATCCACACATATTTTATCTCATGATATATGAGATAAAATTATCTCTTATATACATATAAAAATATATAAAACTCATATGAAATAATATAAAGAAAAAAATATGAACTCCAATCTCCTATAATATAAGTGTATTTTGATGAGTCATTATAAATAAGCTATTAATATTTATTTTATTGACTTGTTAATGATTTATTGATTTCTTATTTATTTCGATAAACCTATAAACATTTAATTCATGATTTATCATTATTTCACATATTCCAAACTTGTAAATTTTATAAGTTAGACTTCAATATCGATCTTACTATTTTTTATGTTCAATTAATATTTTATTACATTTATGATTTTATATATTTATTCTCTACCATTCGTTATTTTATAAGATAATTTATATGTTTACGTCATTAAAATTCATACAACTTTAGGATAGCCATTCCTTAAATGTGATAGTGATTCATGCACAATTCCTGACCGCGATACTTACGCAAGAATCTCTGCTCCTTGACTGCATGACCTTCACGATTTGTGCCATTGCTACGAAGAGAGAGAGAGAGAGAGAGAGAGAGAGAGAGAGAGAGTATGAGCTACGAATTAATCTCGTTTGATCCTTTTTGAAGGATATGGAAATTAACAAAAACTTATTTCGGGTCCTCAAAGCAGATTGAAAAGAAAGGGAATTTGGGAGACTACACAGAATTCGCTTCCTTGATGTTTATGCCAGAAACACAGATTTGTCAGACGCGCAACTACACAAATTCTGACATCATAAAACTACAAAACCAAGGACCAAAAACAAGAAAATAGAAAAATAAACTACGATAGACTCATGGACTCATCCACCACCAGTAAACAGACTACCAGACACCATAAACATATTTCTCAGACATTTTCGCACTTAGTCAACCTCCTCCATCTTGCTCTCCTCGGCGCCATCTTCCTCCAATGGAGGCATATCTTCATCTCCACCAGTCTCTTCCTCATCAATGCTGAGACCGAGCTTCAACATCCGATGAATTCTAGCAGCAAATGTGTTAGGATCATCAAGACTGAACCCAGAAGTCAAGAGTGCAGTCTCAAAGAGAAGCAACACAAGGTCCTTCACGGATTTATCACTCTTGTCAGCTTCAGCCCTCTTCCTTAGCTCCTCCATAATACCATTGTCTGGGTTGATCTCCATGGTCTTCTTGCTGGACATGTAGCCACTCATGCTGCTATCTCTCAAGGCCTGAGCCTTCATGATTCTTTCCATGTTGGCACTCCACCCATATTCCCCAGTCACCAAACAGCATGGCGAATCAACGATTCTGTCAGAGACAACTACCTTCTCAACTTTGTCTCCCAAGATGTCCTTAATTGTCTTGCAGAGGTCCTCAAAAGACTTTTTCTTCTCTTCTTTTTTCCTTTTCTCTTCCTCGCTATCATCATCCAACTTCAAACCTTCCTTAGTTGCTGATACCAATTTCTTCCCGTCATACTCTTTCAGTTGGCCAACAGCATACTCATCAATAGCGTCCACCATGAAGAGCACCTCATAGCCCTTCTTCTTGAGTCTCTCCAAGAATGGAGAGTTCTCCACTGCCTTCTTACTCTCTCCAGTGATGTAGTAAATATCCTTCTGGCCCTCCTTCATTCTGGTAACATAGTCCTTCAGGCTCGTCATCTCATCTCCACTCTTTGTAGAGTGGTACCTGAGCAAATCAGCCAATTTGGCTCTGTTCTGGCTATCCTCATGGATACCCAGCTTCAAGTTCTTCGAGAAAGCATCATAGAATTTGTTGTAATCTTCCTTGTTCTCCGCAATCTCATTGAACATCTCAATGCACTTCTTCACAAGGTTCTTCCTGATCACCTTCAAGATCTTGTTCTGTTGCAGCATCTCACGAGAGATGTTGAGTGGCAAGTCATCAGAGTCAACCACACCCTTGACAAATCCAAGGTACTCAGGGATGAGCTCCTCGCAGTTGTCCATGATGAACACCCTCCTCACGTACAGCTTGATATTGTTCGGCTTCTTCCTGGTGTCAAATAGATCAAAAGGTGCCCTTTTAGGGACAAAGAGAATAGCCTTGAACTCAAGCTGACCCTCCACCGAGAAATGCTTGACAGCCAAGTGGTCTTCCCAGTCATTGGTGAGACTCTTGTAGAAGGAAGCATATTCCTCCTTGGTAATCTCCTCTGGCTTTCGCAGCCAGATAGGTTTCTGCTTGTTGATGAGTTGCCACTCGTGAGAAACCTCCTTAATCTTCTTCTTCTTCTTAGAATCTTTCTCCTTCTCTTCATCAACTTCCTCAACGTCTCCTTCCTCCTCCTCCTTCTTGGGCTCATCATCTTCATCGTCACTAATCTCTTTCTCAGTTGTCTTCTCAGTCCATAGGTAGATAGGATAGCTAATGAATTCAGAGTGTTTCTTCACAAGATCCTTAATCCTCCTCTCCTCCAAGTATTCCAACTAATGCAAAAGACAAAAGTAAAAAACAATTAGTTAATCACTCACTGATAAACGCCCAAAAGAAGAACCAATTGTTTCAAAAACCAAACAAAATGAAGTACCTGATCCTCCTTTAGGAACAAGGTAATCTTAGTTCCCCTTCCGAGTTGTTCACCATTGACATCCCTGGTTACAGTGAATGACCCACCAGCCTGTGATTCCCAGATGTACTGTTCATCGTCGTTGTGCTTGGTGGTCACAATGACCTTCTCAGCAACGAGGTAGGAAGAGTAGAAACCAACGCCAAATTGACCAATCATGCTGACATCAGCCCCAGCCTGCAAGGCCTCCATGAATTCCTTGGTACCAGACCTCGCAATGGTACCCAAATTGTTCACCAAATCTAAAACATATACACAATGATAACAACAACACCATTTAAAACACGAACCACATTTAACAAATCAAACTAATGAAACCTTTTATTTTTCATGAAACACATACATTACCTGCTTTGGTCATGCCAATACCACTGTCAATGATGGAGAGTGTCTTGTTGGCCTTATCAGGCACCAATCTAATGAAAAGCTCTGGCTGAGCATCCAACTTGCTCTTGTCCGTGAGACTCTCAAATCGAATTTTATCCAAAGCCTGTGTAAACATACAAATCAGACTCCGAAATCCCAAAAACAGAGTGACAAAACTAACAAAATTCACAATCCGAAGAACAAGGACTCACATCGGAGGCATTGCTGACGAGTTCGCGAAGGAAAATTTCCTTGTTGCTGTAGAAGGTGTTGATGATGAGGCTGAGTAGTTGGTTTATCTCGGCTTGGAATGCGAAGGTCTCGGCTTCACCCATCTGAACATCCGCCATAGAAACCAATCGAGAACGTATTGCAGAGCGCGAAGAAGAATAACGCAACGAAAGCTTTTCTTGTTTTAATCTTGATTGAGTGAGGAGAGAATAAGGGATTTTAAATAGCAGAAAAGAACCAAAATGTTCGTGGAACAGAGACCCTCTGGATTCTTCTACCTTCCTATCGACCTTTTTTTCTTTTTCTTTTACCTCCTGTTTTCTCGTCAGCGAATCGCGAACTTTCCATAGACCTCTTGACTCTGGAACCTTCTCTCAGATTTTATTGGCAATAACCCTGCTTTTAATCATTTAAAAAAATTAATTAAATTGAATATATATATCTATATATATGACTTGGTGCTTGTCATTTTAAATAACATAAATTATGTCGTTTTAGTAAAGAGATAGACACAGAAAATGAAAATCATTGGAGAAAGAAAGTGAGAGATTTTTTTAAATTAAAATTTAAATAAAAAAATTTATTCTGTGTCTATCTCTCTCTTAAAATGACATAATTTTATATCATTTAAAATGACAAATTTTTTTCCTATATATATATAATAATAATCTTTCTTATTATAATTTTTTAATTTTTCAATTCAAAACAATGTCATTTTGGGTGTAAATAGATAACTTATCTACATTCATTATAAAAATATTAAAGTCATATATATATATATATATATATATATATATATATATATAGAGAGAGAGAGAGAGAGAGGGGAAGGTTATACGTACCACTTTTTTTTTACAACCTCTTACAACCATATCTTAACACTGTTGATTTCCGTCAATCAACGGTTATGATTTTCGCAAATTAAACTCATTAATTAATTATTAATTCACAATAAATGATAACCGTTGATTGACGAAAATATACGATGTTAAGATATGATTTTAAGAGGTTGTAAAAAAAATGTTGTAAGTATAACATTCCTCGTATATATATATATATATATATATATAAATATATATATATATATATATATATATATATAAATATATGAGGAGAGGCGGATCTAGGTTCATTACAAGGGGGCAAGTGCCCACCCCTAAAATATGATGCAAAAATATAAAAATATTTTTCTCTTAAAATTCGAATTTTCCCAATTTAATTTAGGGGTAGAATATTGTAACAACCTATGATGCACCGACACTGACACGGGATACGGGATACGATACGACACGACACGCCGACACGTTAATTCTAAAAAATGTCATATTTTGACACGTTGTGACACGTTTTGATATTAAATAAAATTTTAATATATATAATATAATTTATATTTAATACATATAAGAATCCATAATAAGTCATATAATCAATCAAATATTTAAATTTCATAACTTAAATATAAATATAAATAATTTTTCGTACTTTGTTAATTTTTCATGTCAAATTTCAGAACAGAAAAAAATTAATTTATAATTTTTTTTATATTTAGTTAATAAAATAAAATTAAGATTAAAAAAAAACGTGTCGGAGCGTTGACCACGTGTCGGAGAAAGTTGACTGCGTGTCGAAACGTGCTAGAGAGTTGACCGCATGTCCCCAAATGTTGACCACGTGTCGGAGCGTGTCCGACACGTAATTTTTTTTCCAAATCACGTATCGTAGCTTGTTAGGTAACAACCAATTAGGGTTACTACCAATCAATTTCACCGTTAGATCGATTATGTGGATCAAACGGTTATATTTATTTCCATCTTTGTATGGTTATGATTCCTCATATTTAATATTTTATATTTATTTTCACCTTTATATGATTATGATTTTCCATATTTAATGCTTTTACATTAAATATGGAGATCATAACCATACAAAGGTAAAAATAAATATAACCATTATAATCGATCTAACGGTGAAATTGATTGGTAGTAACATTGGTAGTAACTCTAATTGGTTGTTACGATATCTTACCCCTTTAATTTCCCTCCTTCTATTTTATTTTCCTGTGAGTTCTTTCTTTCTCTCCTCCACCTTTATTATCCAAATCTAACAGCAGAGAACTCTATTCGATACACATCGTTTGGATCTACATATTGTTTCATCTCCTCTCAAACCTCCTCAATTTCCACTATTGGAAGTTAGAACATTTGTTTCTTCCTCCATCGTCGGTCCAGTTGAGTCGCAATTCATCCAGATCTAGATCTAAACCAAAGCTAGCCAGCCGGCAGCTGCTCGCAAGTTACGTTCTAGACCAGACCCAGATCTATATGTACTTGAACTTATATATTAAGTGTCCATCCACCCTTCATTAATTTTCTGGATTCGCCACTGTATATGAGGGAGGATCCATTTACCACCACTAAAATATAGCACATTTACAATCAAAATGATCATCGTTTGATTAAAATTAAATCTATATATATATATATATATATATATTAATTAGTGGAATAAAAATATTTATATATATATATATATTAATTAGTGGAATAGAAAAAAAAATATTTTAAGTAATTCACAGAAGATCATACGTTAAAATTGTCGTGTTGTTTAGTTTTATAATAAAAAGTAATTTTCAAAATTTCAAACTTATTTGATTATTATTATTATTATTATTTTAAAATTGATAAAAAAATTCAAAATTATTATATTGTAAATAATTTCATATTGTTATTTATAAAATATTTTAAAAAATTAGTCTTACGCTGTATCAAGAATATAATCAAATAGATCAAGCGAGGCCTTATAAACTATTGCATGCATCTAGACTAGTTATTCTTTTGTCTAGTTAAAAGCATGCCTTCTTAGTTGATGTAAAGAACACTTGGGATACACCACCTCAAAAGCTAGCTCAAAGGGTGGGAGTGCCCAAGGCCTTATAAACTCCACATTAGTTGCACATATAACCAATGTGAGACTATATATCTCAACACGCCCCCTCACACGAGAGCCCATTGGGCTTGAAGAGTGGACAATGCAACATGCCCAGCCTACCTGTGCTAAGAAACCCCACAAGAGAAAGTGGGGGGCGGCGAGGCTCTGATACCATGTAAAGAACCATTGGGATACACCACCCCAAAAGCTAGCTCTCACCAAGAGACAAGAGGTATTCATTGTAATCCTTGTTATATTAAACTACACAACATCGGTGCTATTATATAGCAAACCAATTGAAGAATACAAAGAGACACACTCAATGTGGACTTCTATACTATGTACAGCAACACTCCCCCTCAAGCTGGAGCATATAGATCGTATGCACCAAGCTTGTTACATATCTGGTCTATCCTAGGTCCTCTCAAAGACTTAGTAAATACACTAGCTAATTGATCATTTGAGTTGACAAAACGAGTGACTATATCTCCTGAGAGAACCTTTTCCCTAAGGAAATGACAATCTATCTCAATGTGCTTAGTCCTTTCATGAAACACTGGATTTGAAGCAATATGCAAAGCAGCTTGATTATCACAAATGAGAGATGTTGGGCCAGTGTCTCCAAACTTGAGTTCCTTCAGTAGCTGTTTTAACCAGATGAGTTCACAGGTAGCTGTGGCCATGTAGCGATATTCTGCTTCAGCACTTGACCTAGCAACTACACTTTGCTTCTTACTTCTCCAGGAAATCAAGTTATCTCCAACGAATACACAATACCCAGAAGTGGATCTTCTATCAATAGGAGAACCTGCCCAACAGCATCTGAGTATCCTACAACTCTGGTATGACCTTTGTTTTCATAGAGAAGACCTTTGTCAGGAGCAGTCTTGATGTACTTGAGGATACGGATTACTGCATTCCAGTGATCTTCACAGGGAGAATTCAAGAACTGACTTACTACACTGACTGCAAAGGAAATGTCTGGTCGAGTAACTGTGAGATAGTTCAGTTTCTCAACCAATCTTCTATACCTTTCTGGATCAGAAAATAGCTCCCCCTGATTTGGTAAAAGCTTGACATTTGGATCCATAGGAGTATCAACGGGCTTAGCATTTAACAATGTTGTTTCCTCAAGAATATCCATAGCATATTTTCTCTGTGATAGTACAATGCCATCTTTGGATTGGGCCACTTCTATCCCTAAGAAATATCGGAGTCTTCCAAGGTCCTTTGTTTGAAAATGATGGCACAAATGTTGTTTTATCTGAGTTATGCCATGAGTATCATTACCTGTAATGACGATATCATCAACATATACTACCAAATAAATAGAACCTGAATCAGAGTGTCTGTAAAAGACTGAGTGATCAGCCTCACTTCGAGTCATGCCAAACTGCTGCACAACAGTGCTAAACCTTCCAAACCAAGCCCGGGGAAACTGCTTTAGACCATACAAGGATCTTCGGAGACGACAAACTAGGTTAGACTCCCCCTGAGTAACAAACCCAGGAGGTTGCTCCATATTAACCTCTTCCCGCAGATCACCATGGAGGAAAGCATTCTTTATGTCCAGCTGATACATAGGCCAGTGATGAATGGCTGCCATAGTAATAAAGAGGCGAACAGAAGTCATTTTCGCCACGGGAGAAAATGTGTCACCATAGTCAAGGCCAAATATTTGAGTATAACCTTTAGCCACCAAGCGGGCCTTAAGACGGTCCACCGGACCAACTTTAACCGTGTATATCCATCGACAGCCAACAACAGACTTCCCAGAGGGAAGGGGAACCAGATCTCAGGTACCACTACTCTGAAGTTCACTTATCTCATCAATCATGGCCGGTCGCCAACCAGAATGTGATAACGCCTCACCTGTAGTCTTAGGAACAGATACAGAAGAAAGAGAAGAGAGGCAAGCAAAATGGGATGGTGAAATACGATGATAACTCAAATTTATTAAATACCTGGGAGGGGGACGAGAATCACGAGTACCTTTCCGGAGTGCAATGGGCACATCAATGTCAGACGGAAGGATCGGAGCTGCCGGAGGAGATGATGACGAAAGTGAGTCCACAGGAGCCTCAGTAACAATAGGGGCAGACTCGGTGGGGGCAGGGTCCTGGGGAACAGGGGACGTTGCCGACGATGATAGACCTGGAGGGGGGGAACAAGGGCGGGAACAGGGACGGGGACATCGAAAAAAGGAGATGGTGAAGGTATATAGTGAACTGAAACAGGTGGTAAAGGTAGCTGAGTAGCAACAGAATCACTGGGATGGGAGGAGGAGTCAAAGAATGGAATAGACTCAAAG